GCAAGAGCAGTGACCGATCCCCTTTTTGGCATTGCATTTCAGGGCTGCATTTTATCTAAACCTTCCAGGAGGAATTTGGTTTTAATTATACTTTACTGAACTCCTAACAGCTGTAAAAGTTTCTGAGTTGTTAAGGGAAGGCTCCTGCCCTCCACAGTCCAAGCGCAGTCCTAAAATCAAACCCATTTGGCATTGCTGGTGATGTGCAGCATTCCAGGCGATTAAATCCGTGGCCATTACCTAGCTGGGCCTTTTCCTTGGGACTGAGCAATGTCAGCGTGGTGAGAACCGGAGGGCCCAGAAGAAAGCAGTTTGCGCAGGCGGGGTCAGTCCAGTATGATGCTCTTCACTCTTTTTCTCCAGTCCCATCTCGGCTGTCCTGTGCTTTGCCAGCCCCCCTGAGTTGGATTATCTCTGACACTGTCTGGGAGGACTGGCAAAACCAGCTGAACCCCTCTGCTGTCCTCCGCCACGCCAGGCACCACCTGAATATGCTGCCTATCAGGAGATGGACAGGAGGAAAGATGTTGCGATCTCTCAGATCTGAGAGCTGAGGGTGCCTGCAAGTGCTCTGTACTTTTAAGTTTTCCTTTAAAAGTCATCCCCTTGGGTGTCTCGGTGCTCTTTAGCAGAGTGCCAGGGTCTCAGCTCAGTGCTGGCTGCCGTGCTGGTTTCTGAACCAGGACAGCTGCTTCCAGTGCCTCGCTTTTCCCTGGGGTCCTCCTCCCCCTGCCCCAAACCCTGCAGCAATATGACCCTGTTTAGATTGCAGGAAGGATAATTTCACAACCCGATGCTTCCCTAGCTGTTAATGTTTCTAGTCAAACTTTTCATCCCAAGGGAAATGAAGGAGTCTGGGCAAAACTGACAGTGCTGTTCCAAATTTGCCAGGGGAAGGAAAAAAAAACCCAGTGCATTTGTACAGTTGATACAGCAGTTTCTCAGCACCCTCTTCTTAACCTTAGCAGATTGCACAGTATTCATTCAAGAAAAAATCAGGAAGGGAAAGCTCTTTCTTGCTCCAGCTTAGTCAATAAGTACACGTTTGGTGCCTCGGCTCTTGTTTCCCTCTGTTTACCCTCAACTTCTCTTTTCAGAAATGGAGGAAGAGTTTTGTCCTTCACCTTCTGATGCTGACCTCAGAGTTTCCAGCTCTGGGATGGCGTCTTCGAGCAGATACAACCCTCTTCATTACTTACATATGCAGCGCAGCGAGCCAGCTCATGCTGCTGATGTTTAAATGAATATTTTGTGGTTGTCTTAAGAGAAGGGGCAGTGAGTGGAGGAGAGGCGGGTGCTGAGCTGATGGTGCAGGTGCAGCTGGAAGCATGTGGCAAGGATTTCCAAGGGTGCTGTGGCCAAACTCAAGGCAGGACTGAGCCAGAAATAAGCTATTTTCTACTGAAAATATGTCTCCAAGGTGATCTCCCAGTGGCCTCTGAAATGTCTTTGAGCAAGTAGCAGGGATGGCTGTGAAGCACCTAGTCCGGTGGTTGCATGTAAGGATCATGCTTCCCCTCTCAGATACCTCCTGCATGGCACAGCCACCTCCCAGGAGTATGAGATTTTAGTCATTTTAACTCAGTTTTATTGAGCTTCAGAGCCTCTCTTTGTGCTAAGAACTGCTGCTTTCCATGTCACCTCTTTCAGCTGGAGCCTTTTCTTGAAGCTGCAAAGCGGAACTTTCTGCTCTTTGAACTATCAGCACTAACACTGGCCTTTGTGCAAAATTCAGGAAAGTGTTGATTTAAAACAAAATAAATAAATCTTCCCTCCTTCCTTGAAGGTAGCAGCAAGTGGAAGAAGGATCCACTGATGAAAACTGTTCTGCAGCTTTCACAATGGCAGGGACACTTCCAGCAGCTGCTCTAACATCTCGTTTGGGTTCTGCTTTCCAGACCTCAGCCTTTATCCAGTTCCTCTCAAACTTAATCATCTTTGTCTCAAAAATGCCATTTTTAATTGAAACAACATGGAGAGTGGCACCCAAAAATTGCAGGGTGAGAGAAAGACGCTGGCTTTCCCAACAGCTGCAAACACAAAGATCTCCTGTAGTTCTGTGCTGTTTCTGCAAGACACTGGAGTCCTTTTATGGCAGAGATGTGCTTTAAATGAGCCTAAAGGGAGATAAAGTCACAGGAGGAGAAATCACTGAGCATTAAGAAATATCCAGATTTTGGCTGGAGAAGGCCTGGAGCTGCTGTGTGCTGGGGGTGGCCACAGGTCACTGCAGGATTGCTCTGCTCTGCTATTGGCAGCAGTGGCAGGAATGATGCGGGTCCTCCCGTCTCATCTAGTACTTTGCTTCTCTTCAGAGACAGAGGCAATTGCAATCTGAAACAATTCATCTCAGTATCCATCACAGGAAGGTTTTAGATACAATAAACCTGGTGGGATTTTTTCCCCTTTGCTGTTCCCAGCAGCTGTGTTTAAAGTGATTCCTTTCTTATGCCACCCTTCCTTTGCAGAAGCACACCCCTGCTTTCTCTGCCTATGGAAATTATTACTTTTCTTGGTTGGGGGGAAAAAAAAAAGGCAAAAATTATTTTTCCCTCCTGCTGCAAGTGCACAGGTTTCCACGTTGCCTTGCCCAGCCAGCCGCATGTGGACTTTCTCAGCACTGTTCAAATATAATAGCAGGTGTGTTTGTTGAAATAAATGCAAGCTTGATATCAAGTGGATTACTTGCCCAGCCGTTTGTCATTGTAAGAAAAGTCGTCACTGAAGGGGATTAGCATGAAGTGCACAAATAACTTTCAACAAGAGGGTTGTTAATCACTTCCTAATTCAGCTCTCCCGCTCAAACAGGAGAGGTTGGGTCACTGGACCAAAATTAAAAGGGAGCTGTCAGGCAGCTGTGAGAGTTTTAAGAGGCAAATATTGAAAGTTCCGCTAACAAAAGGCAGTGGAGACATCAGCCAGCATGTTTGCAGCTGAAAACAGGAAATCTTTCTAATGATAGACCCAGGCCCACTGCCAGCCATGTGGAAACTGCTTCCCAACTTGCTGGTTTTCAGCTTCTTATGGAGAGTGGCCCAAGCCTTGTCTGTTTGGGCAAGTGGGTAGATGTCCCTGTGGCAACAGCAGGCAGCTACCAGGCATTTGGCCCTGTGAGAGGCTTCCCAACAGCATCCAGCATCGCTTGTAGATGTGCAGTGGGGCTTAGCTATGGTGGAGAGCAGTCTGCCATCTCCTTTGGGTTGTTTCTCACCTGTATGATGCAAAGAAAGCTTTTTGTGCATGTAGAGGGGATGAGAGCAAATAAAATAACATGGGGCTGGACCCGCTGCATGGCCCAGGACCCATGCCAGCACCAGGATGGGCTCCTGGAGCTTTGATGACCATCCCTACAGTGTGGGGCTGGCACCCAGACCTGCTCGGGACCCCGGCTGGCACAGCTCAAGGGAGAATGTGCTAATTAATAGCAGCATTTACTTGTCCTTTTGAGCTTTGTATTTAGCAGCTTGAGCTGAATGTGCTATCTGTCTGCAAGGCTTCAAATGTGCCAGGTTTCTTCAGTTTGTTTCTTGTTTACTGGTCAAATTGCCACATCTCGCATCAGAGGGCTGTACAGAGGGATTACAGATTCCTTGGGGAAGCTCCTGTCTTGAATAAGGATTCAAGGTGAGGGTTGCATTAGGGCAGGATGAATAAAAATCATAGTAACTAGGTATACATAATACACAGCCAGGTCCCTGCATCCCGGCAAGCAGAGGGCAGCATCACAGGCAGGCTGGGCATAGTCCGTGCTGCTCTGGGACTTGCCCCTACAGTCCTCTGGCTTTGAGCAGAGAGATTGCAGGGTTGCTTGTCTACACTCCTTCTCCATTTAATATAAATTAATTCAGTTGCCCATGGTGTGTGTGCTCCCAGGATACCTGCCCAGTAATCAGAGATGTCCTCTGAGTACCAGGCAGGAGCAAATCTGCCACCCAGCAAGGTGTTTAGCACTAGATTGAGTGGTGTATGTAGGCAGTGCAAACTCCAGCACAAGCATGTCTGGACAGTAAAACCCTGACCCCTCGTCTTCTCTGTAATGTCCTGCTCCTTGTGTTGATTCTTGCGCTTATTAAAAAGGATCTAGGGAAATAATGGGTAGTGCCTGCAGGTGGTTTGTGCTCACTCGGAGAAATGATGCTGCTAATAAAACTAGCAGGGGAATATTGGGCTCAGTTTCTGGTTCAGGGCATTGAAAAAGAGTTCAGCTGCACCTTGAATTTGAGTGAACACCTGCCAAAGAGAAACCTTGCAGAGGAGGAGGTGGCAGGTCAGAGTGCTGTATCCTGAAGTACACCTATGCCATTACCATTTGATTTCTGCAACTGTGGGCTGTAGCAAAGGCAGTGTTGAGGGTGACACAGGGGTGATTTGAATGTTGATGGGGAAAAGAGAATCTAATACACGCTTCAACCAACATGCCCACCCTTTTGGCTGATGTAAGGTTCCTTTCCTTTCCTTTCCTTGTGCAGCTTCTGCTCTGTATCATCTTGCCACAGTGAAGCTTTTCTTCGTGGGGGAGGTACATGCCCATGGAGAAAAAGCACCCTTTGTGATTTCCTGAAGTTCAACATAAATACACAGCGAGCTCTGCATATCATGGGTCATTAATCCCTCTCACCCACATCACGCATAGGACAGGGATCAAAGTCAGGAAGAATAACTTGATTTTAAAAGGGAAACAACAGATTAGTTTTGGTTCAAAGGAATATGTTTCAATTCTGAAAACTAGGATTTGAAGAACAAGGTTCAGTAGTTTTGAGGTTAGCAAAAGAAATGAAATCTGAAATGCTTCAGAGAAGCTGAAGCAGTTGAAAAGATTCAGGCAGGGATCGGTGACTCCCACTTTGGGCATGGGAAATAATGATGTTTAGCTTGTGAGCTAGGTGCTGGCATCGGAGGTAGGGAATTGCTGCTGCATGGTAGCTCTACAGTTCTTGAACTGAACCTTTCATTCTCCTCATTATTAATTCCCTTTTTCTTTCTTTTTTTTTTTCCTTCAGCATGAAAGACTTTCCAGGTAAGAATTCTATTTTTGGGCGTTTTTTTCTATTTAATATTTATTGACAGCATATTTCTTTTATGGTTTTGGGGATTCCCTGTGCTTCAGATCAACAGCATAAACTGAAGCTGATACTGGCCATTTGGTTCTCACCTTAGCTCAAGTGTTGGGTCAGTTTGCTTTTACCCTTTGCTCCCCAAATGATTTAACAGCTACTTTGCAGAGAAGAAAACCCTCTGTGCCCTATTAAAAATGGACCCCATTCCCACCATGAAGATGAGAGGTCCCTGAGAAGTGACTGCCCCTTTGGGGTTTGGGCTGAGACCCCCTGGTTTTTTTTGCAGTTTTGAAGCAGTGGTGGCTGCATGGCCTTCAGCAGTGAAGCCCTGCGGCGGGGTGGAGGGTGCTCCCAGCCATCCCAGCGCCCGGCTGGGTCTGCCCTGGCCTCGAATCCCAACCGGTCGGGCTCATAGTGGCTGTCCCAAAGTAAGAGCGGCTCCACGGTGCTAGATCTTCATCGTGTTTTAGGTTGGAAGCAGCTACAAACCCTACCACCAGTGACTCCTCCTACAGCGATCGTGCCTCCAGCCGCTCCAGTGCCTACACCCGGAGAGAGAACCGGTTAGCTGCCCTCAGCAGCAGAGCAGAAGAGGAGAGTAACAGAGACTATAAAAAAGTAGGATTTAAAAAATGTGTTATTGTCACTGCACGCACTTTAGAAACTGCCTGTTGCTGCAGAAACCTGCACTGAGAGTCTTTGGAAAGAAAAAGAGAGCTTATTTTCATTTTCTCTGTTTCCATTGCTTTTGGAAATCACACCAGCCTTTTTCAAATGCACCAGCCCTTCTGAGGGTTGAAAAAAAGGACAAAGGGTGAAAGGATCCCTTGTGCAGTCATATATCTGGTGGAGGGGGACTGAGGAGTCAGGCTGGAGAAATGCTGGGAGGGATTTGAAAGGAGCAAGAAAAGATACTGTGGCTCAAGCACACACGACCCCACAGAATTATTTTTAAAGGTACAACATTCCAGAATTATTTTTTCTATAATCTCTGAAACTTTCAACATAATCCTTGAAAGGCAGTAGTATAGACTGCCATGCACATCCACTATCAATGCAAAAACCATATGAAATGTAAACAGATTAAGATTACCTTAATTCTGATATTACTGTGTTTCTGAAAAGCCCTGCACAGTAAGCAGCACCCTACTCTTTTTCACAAACATGTCTGGCCAGGAGAGGCAGGCAGTATGCCCAGCTTGTCCTCGTAGAAGGATGGAAATTCTTTTTGTTTGAAGGACGTGATGGGAAAAACTCCATTTTGGAGTAGTCTAAAATTGTCCTTCTTTCTCCTCTTCAAACTAAAAGCACACAAGAGCAACTAGGGTGTGTTGTGTTGGGGAGCACAACAGAATCACAGCTTCAGATACATCCAGCATATATAATTTAGCACTTTATTATGCTTGGTGGTTTACTTAAATTAAAAACATTCATTTTCTTTGCCTCTTCCCTGTGTTTAAACACCCTGCAAAATTATACAGCTGTTTTCTTTTTTTATACAAATTATGAAAACACCAGTAAAGTATCCAAACTAGTTCTGTTTGCCCTTCTTCAAGTATCTGACATGAGGGAGCAAAGCAAACCCCGCAGCTGCCTCTGCTCAGTGCTGAGGACATGTGTCTGCTTGGAGTAGTGCAGCAGAACTGGCTCTGTGTGGCTGCCAAAGAGCAGCCTGGTTAATTGAAAGCTTTTGTTTCATCTTTCAGTTGTATGAAAGCGCCCTGTCTGAAAATCAAAAGCTGAAGTCAAAACTGCAAGAAGCCCAGCTTGAGTTGGCCGACATCAAATCAAAGTTGGAAAAAGCAGCCCAGGTAAGGCAAAAACCATCTCCTCGACTGGAGGGACTGAGCACCGGCCCATGATGGTGCATGTTCCAGCATGGGAAAGGATTTAGCCCTTGGGAGGGAAAGTGCTACAGAGGAGACTGTTATTTTTCACAGAAATAAGTGTGAGTGATTCTGTAAAGACTGCTTCTTCTCGGGGCAAGTGCATCTGTAGGCTATCTAGGCCTTTGTGCAGCATCCTGTGAATGCCTCCAAGTTTTAATAGCTTTCTATTTTTAATTTACATAGCAGAAACAGGAGAAAACTTCTGACCGGTCCAGCATGCTGGAGATGGAGAAAAGGGTAAGTGTCTCTGCTTTCTTCTGACTCGCAATCTTTTCCTGGTGTTGCTGTGCAAGGCATAATAATTTCTTGAAGGAAAGTGTTAATTAAAAGATAAGTTATATTTTTGCCCTGTGGAGTAGTGCACAGTGATAATTGTGTTCTGACCTTTTCAATGTCTGAGACTTTTCTGCTCTCTTTTCAAATTAGCTTAGTTCTGATTTCTTTCTTTTGTTATAGGAAGCTGCAGACCAATGAATTGGACTGTATTGTGCTAAGAGACTGGTGGTCCGTTGTGCTTTAAAATATTCTTGATTGTTATGAATAAAAACTGTTGGGGTTGGTGAGGGGAACAAGGCAAAACACTAGCTGGATGTCTGCCTCGCCATTATACTTGAAATCTGAGTGTCTGAATACTCCTTCCTCTTAATTGAACGGTCAGCTTCATTGCAGTAAGCTAAGCTGAAATGGCAGTGTCTGGCTAAAACTCTGCCTTAAGTGGCCATAGCTTCGGTCAGATCAGAAGGGACCCAAGGAGATCTGTAGTGCATCCCAGCAGAGCCAACCCAGGTTAGTCAGGGCTTTGTCCCATCATTTCGCAAAGACCTCTGAGTGTTGGGTTTCCACAGCTGCAGCCCCTTCTTCCAGTTCTTAATTATCCTCATAATAATTTTTTTTCCTTTATATTTAGACAGAACCTCCCCTGCTTCAGCTGATGGCCATTACCACTCATTCTCCCACCACATACTTCTGGTTAATTAAAGCTGGAGCCTGGCTCCAGTTTCTCAGTAATGTCCACTTGCATGTTGGAGGGTCACCTGCAGTGGAATTTCCTCCTAAAGTGTTTCATCTCCTAAATTTTTAGAAGCTTTGCTAGATGGCTGAACCATGTGTTTAAATTCAGTTCCTACCATAAAAGACCTTAATAATTTATGTGTAAACACTTCCCAGGATTTGCCAGATTTAGTCTGGAGGAGGTGACGTTCAGGATCCCCACTTTGGACAGAGTTAGGCAGAGCACATCAGCCTTCATCACAAGTGTGTGATACACCGACCAGTGCCTTTGACTTCTGAAGTTACCGAGGCTGCTGAAGCTGAGCTGATGGCCATGGCACTGCTGTATAAGCTCAGCTCAGTGTCTGTACCAGTCGGAACCCCAAGACTGAGATTCTCACAGCAGTAACCTGTGTGGGCCTGATTTCTAGGCCTGCTTAAAGCAGGCTCGGTGAGGTTATCAAACATGTCATCTGAACATAACTGCTGGGGGAAGCCATGGCATGGGTGGAGCTTTTCTTTTGGAAAAAAAAAAAAAGTGTGGTGGTCAGAGCACTTGCCCTGAGCAGATCTCACCAGCCAGAGGGAGCTCACACCATGAGTCCCACCTCCCACCCGTGCTTCTGAGTTGGGCAATGTCTTCCATTGCTTTTGTTGAATTAGGATCATGGCAGCCACAAACACAGGTTTCTGAGAGTTAGAGAGAAAAAAAGCATCCAGGTGTTCTCAGTGAAGATGGCATTAACTGTTTCCAAGAAGCTTACACATTTTGCACTGATGAATCCCTGGGTGAAGTGTGCTGGGGATGAAAAGTGACCCAGAACTGATCATACTCAGCCACACTCAAAAGCTGTTTTCCTCACTCTCCTGGCCTTATGTTTCTTTGCAGAGGGCACAAGAGAGTGTAAAGCCTGCTCCTGACCCACATTTGTCATTTCCTCCGGCTCAGTGTGCTTTCCTGGGGTGGGTTGAGCCCCCTCGTGTTGAAAAAGTCATTGATGGAGGCCAGATCTTCCTCTCTAGCTGCCCACTGAGGGCACCACCAGTAGTCATGTGGCAGAGCCTGCCTGTGTAATTGTCACTTTCCAAAATACACTGAAAGCAGTCAGCTTTACAGCTTTGAAATGCTAAATTAATCTGGGAGAAGCAGGATTTCCAGGCACATTTCCCTGCTCACTGTTTCTTATTTGATGGGCTTGGTGAATTTTCTCATTGCCTCCTTTAGAGAGGAGCAGTTCAATCCATGGCTTCACCAACAGAGCTCAGAATCACGTTACATCAGGAAGTCCTGACAACTGGGAGTCACTAAAGGTGGGGGGATAGTTTCATTGAAGGGGTATGAAGAAAACTCAGGATCTGCAGAAACGGGCCCAGCACATATCACCTGATGGTTTACCAGCTGCCCTGTCCTGTCTGATCAGCTCCTGGTTGTAACCTGTGTGTTGCTTTGAGGTGCTTTTCAAAAAGTGAATGCTCCTACAGAAGTACAAGGCTCATTTTTCTTTAAAGGTACTGTGACGTTTTATTCTAAATCTTTGTTGTGAATCTTTGTAAACAGGAGAAGCGAGCTCTGGAGCGGAAACTCTCTGAAATGGAAGAGGAGATGAAGGTAGGAAATAATTTATTCGCTCTGTTTATTCTGTTTTTTTATGCTGCTTATTAATGTCTTTTGGGATTGTCACCCAGGAGTAGGACAGTAAAGGTGTATGTGGGAAGGGACTTTTGTTATCTCTGAGTGTGCACCTTTATGCAGTCAGAGCTTACCTTAATGACCGTGTTTTCCAAACATGAAATACTAATAAAATCGTCCTATTATCATTCATCTGATTGCACCATATGTTTAATTTGTTATGCTATTTGATCGAAGAACTGTGAAAGCTGTTCTCCTTAAATGCTTTCCAAAACTAACCTTTTGTGGCATCGATGAGTTTCAGTGTGCTGATCCTCTGTGCTCTGAATAGTCTGCAGCCCAAGTTAAGCCGTTGTGGTTCTCTCCAGATGGGTAAGAAGACAAAGCTGGCTTTTGAGATCACGCACACTGGCCAGCAAAAAAACCACAGAGTGTTTGTATTTCTGTACTCCCTTCCTAAAGCATGTTACTGGAAGGCTGTGTCAGTAAGTCAGCCTGGAATAGATTTCAGCAATGAGGAATTTGCTTCCTGATGAAACGTGCAGCATGGCTTACTGGCACGAGACATCCGCCACCGACTGCTCCCTCACGTTCTCTCTCTCGTGGCGTTGCTTCCCAGGATGGTTCTGCTGTGGCTCAGGCGCCCTGCAAGCACGGGGCTGGCGGGGAGTGCTGCAGAGCAGGAAGCGGTGAGCTTTGCCATCTAAGTACACCTAAACCTCACAGTGATTTTGCAGCGTTACATCATCTTTTTTGCTATATTTTAATGCTCGTACTCCCAGAATGCCCCCCTCTGCTCTGTGTCCTGCGCTTTCACTCCCTTTGAGCATGACCCAGGTGGGACCAAGCTACTTCAAGAAGGAATGACTCCATCTGAAAGCTGTGAGCTCTCCCAACACGGTGCATGGATAGAAAAGATTTCCTGCCACCCTGGAGGAGGTTCCAACTTTATGTTTCTATTTGAAGCTTCAAATATTTATCGAGCATACGTCTTTGAGAGGACCCATTGGCTTGTGCTGCACCTTCTACTGCAATAAATAGCGGAATGATTTGGTGGTGTCTCACTGTAAAGGCTCTTTTGTTCTCTCACCGAGGAGATGTGGATGTGCTAGCCCCCAGGGGAGGGAGACTGAATGTGTCTAAATTCCAAATTCTTTGTTCACTGAACCAGGTAGCAACCTTTAGCTCCAGAGAGACCTTCCTGTAATTACAGAAATATGGCCTTCAAGAGAGGATGCAGAGAGTAGCAGTTTGTGTTGTTTCTTCAGCTATGCAGATCGTTCTGCAAACCAGCTCAGTCCATGGAGTAAAAAGACAAATTGGTGTCCTCTAGTGGCCTGTCAGTTTTGAAACATTTATATTGGTTCAGAAAGCAATTAAAGAAGGTGCCTGTAGGAACTGTTGGATACAGCCAAAAGCACCTCTGGTTCAGGTAGTCCGGAGCTGCAGACTGATGGAAGCCAAGATGGTGCTAAAGAAGAAAAACTGCTAGAAATTTGACATGTTCTTATATTGCTCTGAGAGATGTGCTGATGAGCTAGAGGAGCCTGTGCTTGTTACTGAAAATGAGCTGTTAGGTCCTCGAGAGTGGTACTTAATCTTTGCTCTCTGCTGTGTCCTTGATGCATTGAACCAAAGTGGCCTTTTTTTCAGTAGAATAAATAGACATGAAATTTGAAAATATCTTTTCTAAGGTGCTACTATGTTGCCACTAGATTTTGCAAAAACACAAGTATGTGGTGAGTACCTGAATGCACTCTGACATGGTTTTTGACAGCCACTCAGTAAAAAGGAGCATAAAATCTGTGAAGAAAAAAGGTTGAACTGGAGATGTGCATAAGGAAAGCAGACTTCTCTGTCCACTTCCACTGTGCCTTAAAGCAAGGAGAGGTGGCCCAGTTGTGTTTGTCTAGCATGAAATAACCTCTTCAGAGCATCTGTGTTAATCCCTAGTGTGGAGGTTGAGCCAGGAAAACAAATCTGTTAATTCTGGTTAGAATTCTCTGGTTAGGAGATTCCTGCTCCTTGCACAAGCTGAATAGCTGTCGAGCACAACCAGAAGGAATAAGCAACTTAAGAAAATCCACCAGTTTCCTTTAACATGGAGAGCATAAGGGGAAACAACCAAACACGCCAGGTTATTAGGTCTCAGGTAGTGCTGTGGTTTCGGGGATTCTTCCCACTGGTCTTTGAATTGAACCAGTCCAACATGACTCAAATCCAGCTTTTTGATCCTGGGGTGTCTGTGTCACTTCTGTGCCTGAGATGTCCTGGCCAGGACTTTCCTCTCCTTGCAACTGACTTCTTAGGAAGAGGAGGCACAGCAGTGGTCACGGAATGGTCCTGGGTTTCTGGGACAGAAACACTTCGTACTTCAGGCTATGCTTGAAGTAATGAGCTTTGTTCCTTTCATGAGTTTAACTCCTGCTAACGAAGCAGTCAAGAAGTGGAGAAGAGTGGGACAAACTCAGCAATCTCAAGAACTCCTTGGTGCCAGAGCTGCTCCTGCAGACCTGCTCTTGTGAAGGTGACAGAGCAGTGCAGCATTTGCTGAAGTGACTGCAGAATTTGACTGAAGATACAGCAACTTGGCTGAGGAAGAAGAAAGAAAATTAGCATTTGCACTGAACTGAATTCAATGCCAAGTGCCTGAGGTCCCAACTTAACACAGCAATTTTTCTTGAAGGTCACAGAAGCTTCTTTATTCTGTGGCAGCACTACACCCCCTGGCTTTGTACATTGTGCATGCTTTGGGCATTTTTATTTCCCCTAGTGTTGCAGGCGCAAAATCCCTTAATTGAAGGCAGGTACAGCTGAACTGAGAAACCTGCTTTCAGTAAGCCAGTATCAAGCAGAGTGATAAGCAATCGCAGCGGTATCGTCCAGATTCTGGTCTTCGCCCTTGGCTTCAGTCCCAGCTTTCCAGCTTTTCCTACGTTTCTTGGATAAATAGAAGGCTGTCCTACCTGCAGCACACACACATTTTTACAGAAGTGATCCTTTTTATCGTCTGTGGCAGCGTGCTGAGCCTGAGCTGCATCTGATCATGCCATGCTGAGGCTTCATGCAGTATTGGTATGGAAGAATAAAGGTGGTCTCTAAAACCATCACAATCCTCTCCATCACCCCCTTTTACATATGTTTGATGTTTTCTGCCAGTTGGATGCCCGGCTGTGCTCCCTGTGATAAAACAGAGAATGTTTATTATCCATGGTACCACCAAAAGAAATGACTCTTCCAGTATGAACCATCCTCCGGTGGCTCCTGGGTATGATTTATCCCAGGACAGACATGTGATGTGTCTGTGTCCTCACTGAGCACAGGGGCAGCCGTCACACCTCGGGCAGGTTACGTGATGGATAGATGATGGAGATTTGGCGAGAGGGGATCTCACTGCCGAGATGTCTCTGACACTCTTTTGCAGTTTATTGCCGTGGCTCTGTCTCAGGACCTGTTGATTTATCCAGTGTCAGAACTGCGTTGGCTTGGCGTAGTCCGAGTAGCAGGAGCTGCTTTGTCAGTCGGATGCCCCTAGGGGGCTCAAACCCCATCCTTCACTGGCTCCCTGCTCTCACCTGCCTTGCTTCTGTTGGTTTTACAAGGCTTTTGGATGAGGTATCTTGATTCCTTATTGGAGAGCAGAGGTAGTGCTTTTGGGTAGCTAAGAATCGAGCTGACAGATGGGGGCTACACAAAGTACCTCTCTTTTATACAGGAATGAGCCCTTGGACAAAATGTCCTGGGATGCAGCAGGTTCCTTGCCAACTGCAGCCAGCTCCATGTCATGCGAGTTGACTGGAAGTTCATGCAAGTTCTTTGTATCACAGGAGATTTGCCCACGCTGCTTCTTGTTCAGGACAGACAGTGACTTCCCTTTGAATGCTTTCTGCTAATTAAATGGCAGAGAGGAATCCCCTTCCCTCTCTCCTCCCTGCCATTGCACGCTCGCAAGAGGACGCAGGGAGGAGCACGTTGGTTTGAGGAGCTGCTTTGGTTGTGATCTGTGGTTTGTTCACTTGAACTTAAAACGACTTTTCTTGCCCATGTTTCTCTTCCTGCCTTTCCCCTGCCCAGTGTCTGTGCTCCTTCCACCATGGAGGAAGGTTTCTTGTTCACGTGGCCCCGCTGCCCGATGAGCTGTCGGGAGGAAGGAGGGATGGGACGCTGCTCAGAAAGCAGCTCTGCAGCCCTCAGCGTGTCCTGGCACCCATGCTTGGTATAAATGTCCCGCACCTGGTTTTGCTTTAGCACCACTGGGGAAAATGTCATCCTTGTGGAACTGGTGATGTCTGCCTGGCTTTTACCATTTTCCCATTTTGTCTGCATCATTGCTTTTATGTTCTGTATCTCCCCGTTGCTGCTGTACCTATGCTAGCCACAGTTTTGGGGCTCAATTTCTACACTGTCCCTTGCCCATTCGTTTCTTTTGTAACCAAGGATGCCACGTTTTCACGTGCCTCCTGTGTAAGGTGCTGTCAATCAAGCTCCTCTAGTTGAACTGAGCAGTTTCAGGTTCTGACTTTTCACCTCTGGAGATCAGAGATATATTGAGCCCCATGACAGAGAAGAGTTGAATCTGGGCAGGGGTGACGAACCCACACACATGCCCCAGAACTTTTGGCAGGACTGAAGCCTGAGCGGACCCATGACCTGTCATTCAGGTGCTGCAGGGATGAGGGATGTGAGCAGATGTGGTACCTGTCTCCATGGTCTGCTGTAGGGCAGTGATACTTTCAGGTGCTTCAGTCTGTGTCTTTAAAATCTCCCAGGAAGCTCTGATCACTCTTTGCTACATAAGACTGCTTTAGCTTTTAGAAATAGATCAAGAAAAGGAATTTTAAAGAAATTCTCAGTTGCCAGCAGTGTTTTCAAAGCCTGCGTAGGTGGTAAGTCAGCGGTGGTAGTTCTCACAGTAGTTCCTAAGTCCAGGGGCTATGTGCTGCTGGAGCTCGCTGCCTGGGTAAACTAGAATATAAACTGCAAGAGTCTGTCTTGCTTTGTGGTGGGAAACCCCTTTATTTCACCTTTTTAAAGTCTTTGGGGCCCCCTGAAGAAAGGGATGGCTCCCAAAACATCTTCAGTGTGTTATAAGGCTTTCCCCATACGCACCTGAGCTGCTGCCCATCCAGCACTCACTGCTGCTAATTTTTCTTTTATTCTCTCTTGTTCTTTTATGGCTTGTGGACTAAATTCACGTTTCTGTGCCCTTTTGTCTTCGTGGTGTTTTCTCTGTATTTTTCTGTCCACTCCTCTCACTCTCTGCAGAATCTCCACCAGCTCAAACAGATTCACACTCTGAGGCAGATGAATGAGCAACTGCTGGCTGAAAACAGGGCTCTGACCCGGGTCGTAGCCAGGCTTTCTCTGCCTGCCAAGCCCTCCGAATCAGAGGAGCTGTAGCTGCTTTCCCTCCGGCTCATCTCGCCTCCCTCTTCCACTCTTCCAGGCAGGTCTCCGCTCCCTTGGCTGGGCTGTTCCCCCTCGCCTCGTTGCTCTTGAGGGTATCTGATGAAGCTTGTGGCTCAAAAGCAGCATGTGGCAAAGGATTCTCCAGAAACCAAAAGCATGGTGTTACTGCCCGGCTGAAGCAGGGTTTCTCTGGAAGCTCTGTTCAGTCCTGCTGACTTTTGCTCTGCTTGGCAGATGATCCTGATCTCACCGTTTCACTAACCCGCCACGTTGGGGGCTTGCCTTGTCCTCTGGATGGGGCCTGTGTCTCCTGTCATCCAGGAGACGAACAGGAGGGTGGGCTCCTGCCTTCATGTGGGAACGCAGACTTGGGTGGGGGCCACTGAGGTGGCTACTGAGGAGTGATGGATCAGCTGCTTCGCTGTGGCTTAGCACTGACTTTGGAGGAGCTTGTCAGTGCCAACAGGTCAGCCAGCAGCCCCTTCCCCCCCCGCCTTACCTCCGAATAGGTGTTTGTGCTGTGTCTGCTCATTATGCAATTCTTTTTTTAATTGGACTTAGTGCAGTGAGAAGCTGGCACCCAGCAGGTAAGATTATCCAAAGTCAGAATGAACAATATAATAAATTTCTAGGGTTGTTATGAAAAGAGCACATTTTAAACACGAAAGTGATTTTTAGAAAACCTACAACTGGGCAGTCCTCAGCAGGTTTTCTTGGTCACTTGAGCAAAGAGAACAAGCTCTTTCCCTCATTTTAAACAGATTTTTGAGTCTGAGTTCACAGACTGCAGCATCCCCTCTGCCTCCTGCGGTCTGGCTACAAGGCAGGGGAAGCAATAGGAGCTGGACCAGGTGTGCTTTCTTTTTTCATCTTCTGTTTTAAATTCAGTGCAGAGCAATTAGTTTGAAATCCAAGGACAAGCCTTCCGTAAGCTTTGCCCTCACACATCACACAGTTAAATTACATCCTTTCTTGCTACTTCATTGGTTCAGTGCTAAAATAAAGCTGTAAATGCTTCTTTCTTAGGGCCCTACCTGTCTTTTGCAGGTTAGTAGGGATATTCAGATCCCTTCAGACATAGCTATTTTTTTAAAAAAAGGAAGAAGCAGTATGCTCTCGTGGGCTGGAAGTGACACTAAGGTATAAAAAAAAAGAATCTATTCTTAGCACACAAATTATATCAAGGATGATTAACCGTAGAAACAAACTAACCAGGGGAATTGTTGCTTCCCCTTTCCAGGAGTCTCAGTTCAAGACCACACGTGTATCACAGGGTCTGAGAGAGGCGGTGTTTTGTGTTACATGGCCTGAATTGTGCAGCTGGTCAGATGAAATGATCTCACCATCTTTCTGGTTTAAATCTGTGAAAGTATTCTGGAACCTGTCACTAACTCATTCCTTCTCACAAGCAGTGAGGTTAAGTCATTCTCCATCCCAGTGTGCTTTGAGATCTGAGAGGGAAAATTGAGCAAAACTGTTTCCAGACTCAGAGAAATAATGTTTCACAAACTGTAAGTCACTGGTCTCTCTTCTCCTAGGAAACTCCCCCTGCTAACACCCATCTGCTCTGACATACCTTGTCCCTCGTGCAGGCTGGCTGAGACATGAGCGAACTGATCCTTCCCAGCTTGCTTACAGGTTTGCAACTCACTGCTGGTGTCTGAGCTGGAGAAGAGCCTCGTGTCTGCAAGTTCTGCTGATTTTTTTTCAACTCTTTTAGTAGGTCTAACACAGGATGTTGCTGGTACCTGTAAACCTTGTCTCACCAGTGTCTGTAAACATCACAGCTATACAGTAATGTCACTGTTTTAAACTCTGACAGATTTACCATGCTCTTGCAGCAGTGGTGCTTTCCAAAGAATCTAATTTTCCAAAATCCACGTAATTTCTGAAGTGCCCCCTTCTCCAGTGTCACAGGTAATGCAGAGTACCACTGCTCAGACCAGCCTCTGGCCCAAAACTCACTTTATGCCGACGCTGCATCATGGTCAGCTCTGCTGTCTGCTGCAGGCTGTGCTGCATCCCTCATTCCCTCCTTGCCATTTCCAATGAGACATTTATAAAGCTTCCGTTTTCAGGCACCTGCATTACCAGCCTGCTTTACGTGCAGTTTGTTTTACTTGACTTGAGTCTGCTTTGCTTCAGAGGGAGGAATGCCCTTGACCTGGGAGGAAGGAAGTTTTGTAAGGTTGATTTTTCAGAAAGCTGCACTGGAAACTGATGTAGTGGGACTACAGCTGGAAAACTTTTCAAGAAGAACTTGCTTTACATGTACTTATATGCTCCTTCCTTTTCAAATAAATCACCAAAGTTGCACTGAAGCATGTGTGTAAAGCATAGCCACCGTCAGAGCTTCCAGCAAGCTGTAGAACTGGGATAGTTGTTCTCTGATGTTGCTTCTGGGAACCTCTTGACAGATTATCTCTATCAAAGCAAGTGGCAGAACTTTGTATCACTACCTTGCTGCAGTGATGGACACACTCAAGGCTGCATGGCCACCCCAAGCAGTGATGTGGAGGCCAGGGACTGTCCATCTGCAGCCCCCCAGTAGGTGGTTGGACTGTCACAGGGCGCTGACTGAAGGCACTGTGCTGTGTCGTGGGTGTCAGGTGAAGCTCAGGAGGAAACGGAGGGGTGCAGAGTGAGACAAGCAGCACTCTCCCCATTCCTCTGGGCTCCTGAGCGCTTTGGTGATGTGTGATGCCTCTTATTTGGCTGCAAGAAATTGCACAGGGACTCACCACTGCTGTTGTGGAGGCAGCTTGTGCTGGAGATATGCCTGCCGCACCAGCACTGTGCCCAGCCACACGCTTTAAGCTGAATCTCTGGCCAGCCCATCACATAGTTTCCCCTTTCCCCAGTATCCCACCATGGTTCACTTTCCCCCTCCTCTCTCTCCTGCAAAACCTCCCGTCTGGAGCATCCAGTGCCAGTGGGGACGGGGTTGGGGGTGCTGGGGCCAGGGGCCAGGCAGGGCTTAGCCTGGCTGTGGGAGGAGGGAGTCACTGCAGCAGGAGCAGCGGGAGCTGGTGTCTGCCCCGGGAGCTGTCTGCTGGGCATGGGGGGCTGCAGGTGAGAGGAATGGGCTGGAGGTTGTGGTCAGAGCTGAAACTCCAGCACAGGAGGAAGGAGGAGGTTCAGTGGGGATTCTGAATCTGGGGGAATTCCTGAAAGATCGACCTTGCAGAGAGAAGTTACCACTGCTGTTTGTGCCTGCTGTTAGCTGGCTGAACAGGAGCCAGCAGTGTGCCCAGGGGGCCAAGAAGGCCAATGGCATCCTGGCTTGTGTCAGCACTGGTGTGGCCAGCAGGGACAGGGAAGGGATCTGAGCCCTGTGCTGGGCACTGGTGAGGCCGCCCCTCACTGAGTGGGTTCAGTTTTGGGCCCCTCACCCCAAAAAGGCCATTGAGTGACTCGAGCGTGTCCAGAGAAGGGCAACGGAGCTGGGGCAGGGTCTGGAGCACAGGTCTGCTGGGGGAACTGGGGGGGTTCAGTCTGGAGAAGAGGAGGCTGAGGGGAGACCTCCTGGCAGGGTCAAGCTGGCTCTGAGGAAGGATTTCTGTGCAGAAGGGGCTGTTGTGCGTTGGAATGGGCTGCCCAGGGGAGGGGGGAGTCCCCGGGATCCCTGGGGGGGTTGAAGAGTCGGGCTGAGCCAGCGCTGAGGGATCTGGGGGAGTTGGGAACAGTCAGGGTGAGGGTCATGGTTGGACTGAGGGAGCTTCAAGGGCTTTTCCAACTGAGACGATTCTGTGCGTGTGACCCTGCTCCACCCTGGCTTGTTCCAGCAGGCTCGTGCTGTCACCCTCAGGGCTGCTGGCACCCGTGGGGCACATTACACCTTCTGTGTCACACCCCGAGTCGGGAGCGTGGGGTCTCCCAGTCCCTGAGTAGCTGGGGACAGTCCCTTGAAGGTCACCTGCCTGCAGGGTGGGGAGCAAGGGGAGTCGGGAGGGGGCTTTGCCAGTGAGTAATGCTGCAAAGGTCTTGTCAAAGCTGTTTCTTCCTCTATTTCCAACTAAAAGTGCTCTGGCTTTTTTCTGTCTTATGGCCCTTGGCTGGTTGAGCTTCACCATTCAAAACTGAGCACCAGGGAACTGTCTCCAGGTCTGTATGTTCTGCCCGTCCTCTGGCTGTGGCGTGTACATTGCATTAAACATCTATGAGATCCCAAAGAGTTTCGGGTTTATTCTAAAGAGGTTTTGCAAGCCAGACTTGGTCCAGTCCTGAGTTAGAATTTCAAACCTTTGTTTTCCCCTCTAGTCCTAACAAAATTGAACAAACAAATCAGGAAAAACAGCTTTATAGTTTTCTGCTGAGCCCTGTACACCCTCTGGGAACAAGTTTGGGATAAAACAGCTCAGAAATGGTTCCTGCCCTCCCAGCCTGGTCCTGACTTAGTGCTAGGGCTGTGGCAACGCTTCTCACCACGGGCTTTCCCAGCTCTGGGGGCACCCTGGCTCTGCTGTGCTCGTCTCCTCTCAACCCCTCCACGCCTGACGCCAGTTTGTAAAAATCCTGGAGACGTTACGGAGAAAATACCAACATGAGAAGTGTGCTGGCTGGAAGGGATGCGACATCCCTGCTGTTCCCTCTGAGCCATAGGCCTTGCCCAGCCGGCAGCGCTGAGCTGTAATCCCACCTTGTCTTTGTCTCTCTGCAGATTTTGACAGAGCTGAAGTCGGACAACCAAAGGCTGAAGGACGAGAACGGAGCCCTCATTCGTGTCATCAGCAAGCTCTCCAAATAGGAAGCCTGAGCAAAGGCAGGACAAAGAGGGGTGCCCTACACAAGCTGCCAACCCCGCCACCAAGCCCTACCCCTCTCTGTTCCTCCTGTCGAGTACAGCAAGCATTTCAGCCATGGGATCAATCTGTCACACCTGCCTTGCCCTGCCCTTTGCTGTACATTCCCTTTCTCCCCTTATTTCCCCCACAACACACACCCCTGCCATTTTATTATTTTTAATTTAAGCATGTTGTGGTATCTCGGACATTTTATTCAAGGGAGAAGAGAAACATGAGGACTGGGTTTGAGCTGCCAAAACTACTTCTTCCAGAAGCCCAGTATTTGGTGTTGGACTCCAATCTGGAGTAGGTAGCTCCTACTTTTAAAAGTGACACCTGAAGAACTAATCCAGCACGTCCGAGCCCTTTAGAGGTGGGAAATGTGAACGCAGGCTGGGACTCTGAGGATGCACATGAACCCACCCCAGATGTGGGACTCTGGTTGAAATGTGATGCTGTGAAAGCCACCAGGGCTGATTTCTGTAACAGGCTGATGACAGCTGCCTTTGCACAGAGACCACCTTCTCCTTTTGCCCCAGTAGACCAAGTCTTTTACTTAATACAAGATTTTAAATCTGTTCAGTAGCATCAGCAGTGACTCTCAGCATGAGATTCCTTACCCCTCACCCTGCCTTTCCTCTGCAGCCTGGGTGATTGGGTATCACACTGTATCTTTGCAGGGCTCCTGTCTCCGTTAGTAGCATCTGCTAATTGCATCTGGACTCTTGCTTCTCCGGATGGGATGTATCATGGACACTTTCTGAAGGACAAGCTTGAGCCCTTAGAGATCCTCTGCTGCTTTCACATGTATGTGAGCATGAATCACCTTGTAGGGAGCTGTGCCCACACCAGAAACCAGCCTCTCTGTCCTAACAGCTGTCTGGGACCTTTTCCTGCCATGTTCACGAAGGCAGAGCCCTGTTGAGGACTCTGGTCTGGTATTGCAGGTACCTTGCCTTGATTTGCAGCCAGAGGCTGACCAGGTGAACGGCAGCGCTGGTTTGTTTTTAGAGGGAGGGAATGGCAGAGTCCAGGCTCACCCACCCATCTGGTGGTGAAGCAGCTTGGCACAGCTGGGTTTCAAGGCAGAGGAGCATGAAGCAGCGATCTCCTGTCCCCCCGTGTGCCTTGGGAAGGTGTCGGAGGGACAAGGAGCTACCCTTGGGCATGCTGGTAACTGTATCACTAGGATACAGTTTTTAATCTGTCAAAAGCTTGCAATAAGCCTTGACCTTGAAGGAAACCTCAAAAAAACCTCTCTTTAATGTTACGCAGACTCAGAGTAGTTTGGAATTTTCTCTATGGGCATTTAGACAGTGGCTCCTCTGTGTGCTGCGTGATTGTGATGATAGCAGCAGTAACCTGTCATCAGATCTCTTGAGCTTCCCCTTAACAGACTCCTCTCAAACGATATCTTCCCTCTCAGACACTTCCTGCTGTACCTAAACCACTTCCCTGTCTACATCCTTCCATATTTGTCCTTTGATTTCCTTTGTCCTTTGATTTCCCTGCTCTGTCTGGCTGAGAGTTGCAGTCTCGGTCATTGAACTGGAGGTTGCCATGAAGGAGTCCCCCCTAGGTTCCTGGGCACCTCTGCTGACTGTGGGCTCACGGCTCCCGCCAGGCTGGTGGGACTATTTCTGCTATGAAAGAGAGAGATGAGATACTTGAACATGAGCATAATTCTTGAGCTTGCTCAACAGGGTAAAATTTATCTCTGTCAGTCAATTCTGGGCTTTTTAGAACCTTTTGCTGGTTATTGCTTCAGAAAGTGTGTTTATTTTCCTCTCCCTTGGGTTTTTTCTTCGGGGGGGGGTGTTGTTTTTTTCCTAATTCATTTTTCCCCTTCCCCTCCCTGCCCTGCCTGTTTCCACCTCTCTATCTCTTCTCAGCACTGCTGGTTTTTCCCCAGGCAGCTCTGAACAGAGGTTCCTCTTCCACCACTCTTCAGCCTGTGGAGCTGTTTGTGCACGGCATGAGATGCCGTTTCTCCTGGTACACTGAGACCCTTCCTCTGCTGCTGTGCTTTGGGGAGGAAGAGACCAAAGCTGGTAATGGCATCAGGGTTTCTGCAGAGCACTGCCTAAGCCAGGCATCCCTTTTAGATTACTTTATTTTAACCCTGCTATATTTAATAGCTTTAAGTCTTGAGATCCAGTCAATGCTTTTTCTGCACGCCATTCCCACTTGGTGCACTCTTTATGTGAGTACTTCTGCAGTTCTTGATGTTTTTTTCTCTTGGTGACCCACTCCTCGCTTCAAGACTTGGGCTCTCTAAGCTCCAAACAGGAGTCCAGTCCCTTCTGTGCCACGCGGAGAAGAAGATACCCGCTGGGGCTGCTGGTGTCTGGCGCAGCGCTGGCGTGTGCCTCGGCCCGTGTGACTTCAGACTAAAGATCCTGTTCTTCTCACGAGGCAGGTTCCTGGCAGCGTGAAGAAGCCTGATATCTGTTTTAGGGAGAGGGTTCAACCCAATCTGACAAATCCATCCTGCACTGACATTTTGCCCCTTCCTACCAGGACACTCGTGTTTTATCCTAAGGAACAGCATGCAAAGGGTGCGGAAGGCTTCGTTCCTCTGCGTGGCACCTTGCAAAGCCAAACCACTTCAGATGAAGTCTGTGCTTAGCACTGGATTATCCCCCTGAACTCTGACTAGAGTAGAGGACCCACCAACAGTTTAGTCTCGCTGACTAGCCAAAGCTGTGAGTATTTCGTGATGACGACGCAATTGCAAACCAAATTCTTGAGAATGAATTTTTTTGGTCTCACTTAATGCCTGACATAACCAGTGCACTGAGGAAGTAATGAATAGGACACCTTGCACTCCGCGCTTGGGACAGAGTGCAAAGAAAGCAGTTTTTAAAACTGATCCCTGTTTGAACCAGAGCATTTGCCAGACGTGATCTCCACTGGAGAACACAAGCTTTTTTCTAAGCAATTGCTTGGGGTGAATTCATTTTTATTGCTTGGGGTGAACCCGCCTATTGTGGCTGCGAGTTTGATGATGGCTCTTTGTAAATAAACTCCTTGGAGAAGCAGGACTAGCTTACGAGATGGGGAGAGAATGTATTTTTATGCAATTTTTGAGTGGCCTTTCAAACCCTGAGATGAATGATTTGTTTTACTGGTTGTTGTTATATAGTATTATAAGTATTATGTGTTTGAAAGTTTGGGAATAATATTCACATCTATGATGCTTGTAAACACAACAGTATTTATAAATGAATAAAATAAGAGTTGATAAAATAGAAGCTTTGACTTTGCTTCCATCTTTCTGGAGCCTCAGAAGCTGCTGCAAGTTGTCTATAGCCTAAAATGCCCTGTTTCTCCCAAAACTTCCAGTGCTTCCCTCTGTGCCTGTTTGGGGAAAGCTCAAATGAAGGACTGTGGGCACACGTCCCTGAAAGTCACCCTCCAGCCAGGAAGGCGAAGGGGAGAGGGTTCCATCTGACACCTCTGAACCCCAACAGGGTCCAGGCCCCTCTCCCTCCATAGTGCTAAGCCCTGTATTTGCTCTGCTCGGGAGCTTGGTCAGGATAAACCTGTAGCAACGACATGGGTGCTGCCACATCTTGGAGCCTTTGTCCCGATGAGGTTGCTAGAAACTTCTGTGTGTTTTGGCCTTAGGAGGTGGCTACAGAACCATTCAGGTTGCAAAGGTCCCTCGGGATCATCGAGTCCAACCCTCAGCCCGACTCTACAAAGTTCTCCCCTACCCCACATCCCCCCACAGCTCATCCAAACGGCCTTTAAACACCCCCAGGGATGGGGACTCCCCCCTCCCTGGGCAGCCTGTTCCACTCTCTGACCACTCTGACCCTCCCCTGTTGCAGTTTCCAGCCGTTCCCTCTTGTTCTGTCCCTGATGCCCTGGGAGCAGAGCCCAGCCCCGGCCTCTCTGCAATGTCCTGTCAGGAGCTGCAGAGAGGGATGAGGGCTCCCCTCAGCCTCCTCCTCCTCACACTGAACACTCCCAGCTCCTTCAATCACTCCTCAAAGCTCCTTACTGCAGCTTGAGCTCTTCCCCTTCGGGTTAGGGGCATCCAGCACCTCTGCTAAGCAAGGCAGGACCTAAACATGAATATATGGACCAAATTGTATGTGTTGGGGGTGAAGAATTCGGTGGGGACCTTGGATGTCTTCTTCCCACCTGCACCCCACATCTGGGCCAGCCCGGAGACATCCCCTCCACGGGTGTTTCAGGGGGACCTGGGCCCTCGTGGGGTTCCCCTTGTGCCTCCATCCCTCCATCACCCCTGGGCTCACAGCCCGCCACAGACACCCCACTGAACCCCAACAGCAAGACCAGAAGGGAACCAGGGCTCCTTTCAGCTTGTTCCTTTAATAAGGAGACAGATATCTTTACAAAATAACCATTGAACGATAAGAGACAAAAACGACAGAGTCCACACGAGAGGAAGGGGCTTTAAAAGCAGCTTCCCGCCGGAGCCGAGTGCTGCGGGGCCGGGACGGGGCAGAGCGGGGCCGGCGTGAGGGTCCTTGGCTCCAGGATCGGCCAGAGCCTGGGACTTCCAAGGGAGCTGGCTCCTCCCTTCCAGGTTTGGGGGGAAAAAAGGAAAATAAAGCCAAGCTTGTTACCAAGCCTCATGGATTTGCTTCCTTTTAACCCCAGGAGACCGAAGCTGAGCATCTCCATGGCACAGCTGGGTTTGCACCACGGTGCAGCTGGGACAGGGGAATGCCCGGCTCTTGTCCCCAGAACAGAAACGACCCAACCAGACATGGCAGAAATAACCCAATTTGCTCTGAAAAGCCTTTTTGCCACCAGATCTTTGCCGCATCCCAGCCTTTCCATTGCAGAAATGCCACCAGCAGGCCAGCCCCGGCTTCTGTGCCCAGCACTGCCCTGTCCCCTCTCCCAGCATGGCAGCAGCATCGGTGGCCACCGAGGCAGTGGCCAATGCGGCTCATCCTGGCAGTCTGGCTCCACCGCTGAGCCCCACGAAACCAGGGGGGGACGGTGGACAC